ATTTTAATATCATAGGTGTGTTTTACCCATGTGCACGCAATTCTGCTGCCTTGCTCGTTTACTCCCGTTTGCACTCAGCTCGAATAGCTGGTATGTGAGCGTATTGTGATCAATACAAATATAATGATAAAAAATAGATAATAATAATAATTTATTCTCAAATACCGAACATGTTACAAGAGACATGCCAATTTACAGGCAAGATCAAAATGTTAAGATTAGCGACATATTTCTTTTAAAACGGTATACAGTTACTGAAACATTTTACAAGATTCATTGTTTTCTTAAAGATGGAATGTACAATGCGAATAATTGGCGCAAGTTACGAAGGTTGCGTTACGACAATCATCTTATGGACTGAGAAACGATTCATGGTACAGATGGGTTTTCATATAACAAGAAGTGATGTGGTAAATGTACAAAGGTCTGGTTGATATTCGTCAGCTAATGATTTCACATGTTCTTGGGTAGGGTAACCAAGTCTACGGCAAATATCCAGACTAATATATGAGGATTTGGATAATATTCTGAAAAAAGAGGAATAAAGAAAGCTGGACGAGGAGCGGAACAGAAAATATTCGTGTTCAAAGCCGAACAACGGCTTTGCACATACGTTTATGGATAAAACAAAGGTATGTTTACTCAGACTTTTTTAATATCATAACAAAAACTAAACACCTGCACTTATGTAGGTTAATGAAGACAATTCAGTGGTGAGATAACTAATGGGAAGTTAGTCGAAAGAATCGAGGAAATTCAGAAGAACCAAGTTGTTAGTAATAAAGTTGATTTACAAAATATAATAAAGAGGATCAGTGAAATAATTTTTTGGTTTTATTTATTCTTTTTATTTTTAACTCTGAGGCTCAAGAAGTTATGAATGAGCTCTTTCTTAGTATAGTTGTCCAGACCAGCTTGCAATAGGATTTCTCGGTAGGAAGTAAAAACCAGTGCAAGGTTACAGACATGGGTTGTAGACGAGGTTAACTAGGAAAAGTAACATCAATATCACTGATTTGTTACATCCTGCTATATCGTAAGGAGCCGTAAGCAAACAAAATGTCCTGCCACACAGACATGGATAGATTGAGGTTATCGCCCCACCGTCATGAATGCTGGTCAGATACACCACCCTCCCTCCTTTTGTGATGTTAGGCTCTCTTACGTTTAATGGTTAATTGTAAATAATGGTCTCTAGTCTACTCTCAATTTTTTTTGTACACCTTATCGGAATTAACATTCTCTACTAGCTCCAACATTACAAGCAATCCAGACAACTTTGCCAGATAATATATCCACATAGCATGTCACACTGATTTTATGTAAACGAATGGTATAATTTGTAAGATGAGTCAAATTAAAGGTAGTTTGGAAATAGGAAGGACAGGGAGCTGGAACGAGGAGAAAGTGAAAAAAAGAGTTGAAATAATGTTAAAAATTAATAAGTAAAGCGATAAGTTGGTAAGCAGGCAAGGTGTTTGCATGTTAATGAATTGGGGAAACAAAAATTAGTTAAACTGTTAATACTTAAATAAGAAGATACTCACAATGATACACGGTGTTTGAGTTCCTTGTAATTGACAGTAGTTGATCAGCATCTACAGGCTTTTCAGTTTGTCTGTCTACTAGAAATAAAAACTAAAACTGCTTTGAAGATATGAAAATAATAATCGGAATTTAAATTCGGAGAAAAGTCACGGGTAACACTTCAAAGGCGTAACCTATTACTGTTAGTAGGAGCAGGGGGATTTGTCTATCATTTCGTGATACATGTATGGGTGGTAATGAGAACACAATATGTTCATAGTCTATAATTCGTTTATGAGGTTTATCTAAATATTACGTGGACCATAAAAGACTGCCTTGGGACTTTGTGTGAGTTCCGGGAATAGTCGGTATATCTCTTTAGAGTCTAGCAACAGCATGACTAGTTTCTTGAACTTAGTGATTGTGTCACAGATACGGATAGTAATTGGTAACCTGTTCCACAGTAGACTGTATCGTAATACAAAGAAATTACAACGCAATGATTTTTTGTGTTTTGCCGTTAATAGTGTATATGCGTTGTTTCTAAGTCTGTGAGCAGTGTCGTGGTTCATATTTGGGCGGTATTTTACGAAAGACCATTTATTAGTTTTTAGAGGAGCATTAGGTTGTTTTTGAGACGACGACGCCATAGAGGTTCTAGGGAAAGATGCATCTTTCTGCGTAGTCGAGGTTATGGCTCAATCCGAGCAGTCGCCGGGTAAAGTTTCTTTGTACATTTTCTACTCGCATTTTGTCCATGATATTCAAGTTTGAAAAGATGAGTGAACAATATTCAAGTGTGGGCCTTATACAGATTTTGAAGAGAGTAAGCTTAGCCTCACTAGTCAAGAAGTTCTTGTTTATAAACCCAATTAGTCGTCTAGATTTAGAGATAATATTTGAGGCATGTTCTTCGAATTTTATGCTTCTGGAGTAATTAATACCCAGGTCACGCGCTGATATAAGTGTCTGAACCCTACATTTTTGTAAGTAGAGTGGTGAATCAAGGTGACGCTTGCTAAAATGCATTATGCCACATTTGTTGTGGTTAAACGGCAGTTGCCATGTCTCGCTCCAGGTACTCAAGTTATCAAGATCACTCTGAATTTTAGCTATATTTTCGTCCAGATCTTCAGGCTTATAGCTGTATACTATTTTCAGATGATCAGCATATAAGTATACTCTTCCAAATTTTATAGTATTACATATATCATTTATGTACATTAGAAACAAGAGTGGACCTAAGACACTTCCCTGGATAACTCCACAGGTTATTGGTCTTGGTGATGAAAGACAGTCGTTGTACTTTATCATTTGTTGTCGCCCATTTAGGAATGAAGCTAACCATGAGTGCAGTGGGTTGACTTAGACAATTTTAATATTGTAAACGATGAAAATTCCAAATGTTTCCTTGTTCTTCTTAATAGTTAGACTATAGACGGATTTTCTACCCCAGCAGTTCACTTTGTTTCGATTAGGTGTAGGTTGAACGCGCTATCCCCCAATCCAATATCAAAACACAATAATTCTAAGAGAAAGCGGTCTATTTTTATTATAAAATGGAAATAAAAACAGTTACCTAACTATCAATACACCTTCCAAGTCCAAATTACCCTGATGGGTATCCGATTCCAAAAGAATAAGCGTTACTAGTTCTTACTGCTACGGTATCAAATCCAAATATGGCTGTAGCCATATTAAATATCAAATTTAAACCACATATATACAGTTCTGAAGCAAACATAAAAACTTCAATATGAGTACAAAATATAGAAATAATAACAATATACAATGATAAAATCTCAAAATGGAGTCAAAAGAGTACCAAAATGTCAACAGAAAGAGTCAGTCATATCATAACACAAATATATATACATGGAGGGATTTTCCAAAAAACAAAACATTCAAAAAAGATTCTACATCGCATACTTAGAATGAGAAGGACATAGGTTAAGCGATGCTCTGTACGCTTGCCACAGGCGAAAAGGAGAGTCTGGCACAAGTTGAAGTTCTCTCTGAAGGATTCTGATCGTATTTCTTACCTGGCATTGAGAAACAGACGCAATGTCACTTGTCAAAGTGGTAGGAGATACTTCCGGATGGATCTAGCTGCCGACATACAGGCGAACCCAACATGTCTGTTTAGGTTCATGAGTAAAAGAAAACCTGCGCACCACAGTGTTTGTCCCCTCAAAGGTTCAAATGGTGAAGGCCTCACCAACGTAGAGATGGCTGAGATCTTCAACACCAGTGTCACATATGAGTTAAACCAAGTACTTACACGTTCAAAGTACTACTCAAACCTAATGTCAGCTGACGGCCTAGGGAATATCCAACTTACTCTTGGCTTGGTGCAAAGAAAACTAAAATCCCTGAGCCCATGAAAATCACTAGGGATAATATTCTCCCAGTAGTCTTGAAACAACATGCAGAAGCCCTCACTCCACAGGTGTGTAATTTCTTCAGGCATTCACTGGAGTCACACCGAATCCCAACTGAATGAGACTAAGCTACTCTCTCTCCACTCTTCGAAGCAGGTGATAGGACTAGTAACATTACTATCAATACTATCGAAGGCAATGGAAGGACCGATGAATTAGCGAATGCGGGAATACATGGATATGAATGAAATCCTCCATGGAGCTGAAAACGGGTTTCTGAAAGGCAGCTCATGTGCGTCCAATCTTCTCATAGCATGGGACAATTAGACAACCTGCCGGGACTGAAAAGTATCAGCTCACATAGTCTTTCTTGACTTTGCAGAAGCTTTCGACACAGTACCCCACGCACTCCTAATTGGGAAAGTTGTGAAGATGGGTTTCACTGATCCAGTTCTATCTTCCCTCAGAAACCACCTTGAGAACAGAAAGTTGAGCACCAAGGCAAATGGAGTGCATGAGACCTGGAGAGTCTCAACATCAGGAGTTTCACAAGAGACCATCTTAGGTTCCTGATATTTATTAGTGATTTGTTAGACGAAATTAGCCCATCGATATCTCGCTTATTATCTCGTTTTCCTCTTCCCTCCTTACAATTTTGTCTTCTCGCATAGTCGTCACTACTAATTGATTGACTTACTTATTCATTTATTTAAATATTACTGAGGTTTTCCCCTTCTCATTAGCATTTGGATTTTCTCCCCGTTGTTCTCCTCACTGTAACTGATTGATATCCAACCTGGTGATTTGGTACCCGCTGGCACCCACAAACCCTACTTCTCTGAGACAAACGTATTCATTCAAATTACAGGACATACAAATTCACAGACAACTGCTGACTGACTAGAATTAGTTCAGTCGAGTGGCTAGACAATCACTCATTAGATACTACCAAATACCTGGAACCGTATCGAAAGATTAGGAATTGAGTGAGATGAAATCAGTCGGTTCATACCAGATCGTGAAGGAGATATTGAATATTGGGTATTGCAAAACCGTGCTGGATAAGATTTGTTTTAATATGTCGTCCTCCAAGCGTAGTCAATAGCAAACGTAAGGACAGATTTGAAACAAGTTTTAGTGGAACTATGGAAAACGGGTCACCCAAATTGTGCATTTGTCAAATATGTACTTGCGGGCAAGTTGTTTTCAGACAGTTTTTAATTTCCGTTAAATTAAATGAATGAAAAAAATCTGTTAGGTATACATGTTTAAAGTCCAGCCAGTAACTCATAAGTTAAGGTTATCACCCCACGGAATTTTCGTTCAGAATTGAGAGTAGCTATGATAATAAAATGTTAGGGATCGGTTTTAAAACTTAGGTTTTGGCTCTAATTTTTGTTGTGCAAGTCAGAGTTTTCTTGGCGAACTGGCATCAGCTAAGACGCGATACTTTACCATTCTATTGTTTACGAAAGGAGATTACCCACCATCTCAAGTTCACTTTTCAGTATCTTGACAAAAATTTCAATTGACTTCAGGCATTTTATAGACAGAATATTGCCAATACACACTTTATTAGTCGTAACACAGATGTTGTCAATCGACGCACTTCAAATTTTAAGCAAAATACATGAAGTGTTATCTTGTTTCTAAATTTTTGACTCAAAGTCATGAGTATATTATACTTTTGCCTCGGTTGTACTTGATAATCACTATTTAGTACAATCAAATGGTTTATGGCTCTGGTTTTACTAGCATTTTATCAAGAATTTGTATCAGTTATCTTTATACGCTAAATTTTGTTTGTAAGTGAATACTGAGTGAGCTATCAGGATCCATCCAAAACGTATCCCCTGCATTTCTTCTCATAGCTTAAGACACTTCCCACAGGTCTGAATTGGATAAAGTCATTCTCTTGGCTGATCAGAATCCAAAGCATCATGTCTTTCCTTTTTTCCGGCTCAAAATTTTCTTACTCAATGGCTATATCACGGCAAGTCATTCTTATGGTACGCAGGGATAACTTTCAGGCGTAAATATTATGGCTGTGGTTGAAGCATAAAACGGAATTTTAAAAAATATATTGCATTGGTACTTTATAACTTTTTTAATTCGCGATGGAGAACTATGCATATTACAAAATTATAAAAGAAAGTCCAAGAAAGTCTATTTTTCCACACTAAGAAGATCAAGTTCTAAAACAAATAGTTGCATATAGGCACGCATTCCATTAGAAACTGAGTGTTTGTTTATTGACTGCAACACAACTGTAAAGCCATCTTCTTGTCTTATTTTTCATCTGAGATTTTTAACATAATGAAATACACACTAATTCACTTATCCGAAAAGTTACATTAACGCCGGTGAGTTGTTTGAGAGAAGCATTGTCTGCCACTAATACCCTAGGAGCTCCTTCCCTACTGAACACTCTTCTCAATTCTTGGATGGTGGTTTCAGAATTAGGTGAAGTTGTGAAAAAAACTGTGGGTCACTTAGAAACATGGTCAATGAAGAAACATGCATAGCATTTGCCAGGAAGTTATCAACAGTAGTCTACAAGCCTCAGACAACACTTTCTATGGAGTCCACTTTGAAGGATGGTTTCTCAACCTATGATGTCCTTCGCATTTCTCTGCTGTACGACATGTATCTGCATTTGAGTCCGGCCGTCAACAAGTGACTTATGCTAAAGATTTTACTTTCCCATCAAAAGAACTACTATGATGAGCTTCAAGGACAAATCTACACGGTGAATGAGGGGCAGCACTATGGAAATCTGAACGCAAAACACCATCAGAGCGATGTAGACAGCAAATTTACTTCTTAGGTCGTGAAGCCGATGTGTTAATCAGAAGTGACTGCATTTTATATATTATCTTTTCATACCCAGAAATTTCTGATTGGCACTCTAGTAGCCGCGTATGGATCAGTACTGAATTAAGGACAAACTGTGTCAGAAAAAACGAACATATTGTACTTGGCAACCAAATTAAGCGCAGAATGAACACGGGGATCACCATTTAGAACAAATACCACCAAGACCGGAAAGCCTACTCGTTGTTTACTCAGTCGCGTTAACTATGGAGAAGGTGGATCTAAATTTAGCAACATGCCTTTTGTAGGAAGAAGACATTCTTAGGTTATAGGCGGTCGACTATATGTGTTTTGAAGGGATTACTTGTTTATACTCGGATTTCCAAGTGAGTAATTTTGAAGATATATGGAAGGTAGCAGACAGAGATAGTGAACTAGTTAATACGATTTTGAACCCTAATCAACTAATTAGGTAGAGAAATGTATTATGCACGCTTAATCACCACCTACTTCAACGCTCAGTGCACATACGTGTCAGGTTCTGTGTTACTTAAGACAAACGAATTAGAAGAGAATATTGATTGCATATCAACAAGTCTGTAATTCAGACAGTTTCCTTCTTAAGCGAACAAAGACGTTAAATATTGTAGAAATACACCAACTTGAAACTGTGGTCGGCGAGCTTAGTCTAAACAATGTGCGTAAAGTCTCGAGTGGAAAATTAAAATTTTCCACATAAAGTTATCACATTGGAAAAGTGATATTTACACTGGCGAACCAGTTTGTCTAGTATGTAATGAAATGCATATCATTTGTCAACTATTTAAAACCTGAACTAATTTTCACAAAATATTCGATTTATCAGTAGTTTTATACTAAACTATGGGTTGGATTGAAATCTATTGCGAGGATTCGGAAGAAAATTGTCGACTAATGTGTTCGCAATCATATTAACAGTTGTGAAGTAGTTACTGACGAACTATTTTAGTTGAATGTTGCACTATATTGCTAATTAACTCAATTCAGCAATGTTAACAAGTGAATGCCAACTCAATGAACTAAATGTCTAGACATTAGCTGAAAGATTTGAAATTGTTTTTTAGATCTTCGATGAGGATTCATAAGATGCTTTTTTTTCCCCGTTTTTTAGTGCTTCATATGTGCTGCAGTGTGTCTTTGCTCCCTTGAACAAAGTTTGTACGCAGTTAATTTTATGGGTTCTTAGGTTGTTGCTACCGTAGTTGAGAATTAAGTGTCTGTGTGGGTTGGCTTCCGAAATACTTGAGTCTCCAGTTTTCCTGTGTTAGTTCTGGTGATTACGTACATCCAGAAATGATAGAGTGCTGTTTGATTGCTTTTCCATGGTGAATTTTATGTCATTAAGGACGTTGTTGATCCGATTGTGGATATTCTTCAGCTCGTTCCTTCTGATCATGACAAATGTGTCATCTACACAGCGAACCCACATTTTTGGCTTGATGACTGGTAAAGCCGACACTTCTAGTCTCTGCACTACAGTTTCTGCGATGAGTCATTTAATCGATGCTCCCATCGGTGTTCCTTTTGCTTGTTCGTGGATTCTGTTGTTGAATTGAAAATACGTTGTTAAGCATAGATTGATGAGTTCTAGCAGATTTTGGCTCTGAAGTTTCGCATATTTTTTGGAGATGTGTGTCGAATCACTTCAATCAATCGTATGTAGACCAAAGGAAAAAATGAAAAAGGAACAAAAACCAAATATCATCTACAAAATAAATTGCTCAGACTGTGAAAAAAACTTCACAGGATAAAGTGGACGGCCCCTTCTGCTCCGTTTACGTGAACACCAATTAGCGGTTAAACGCCACGACAATTCTTCGCTTATACCAATAGGTACGGACATTTATGGACCTACATTTGATTGGAACAATCTGGAAATACTGTATAGGGGAAGTACAAAGAATTCTTAGAAGCTTCGCAGTCAGGTCAATCAGCAATCAACAAGCGCATCGAAATTGACCCATTTTATCAACCAATCAGAAAAATCATAGGCGACATAGATCAAGAAACAGATCAAAATGGAGACACAATGAAAACAAAAGTGGGAACAATCGTAGATTTATGGTCAACAGCAACCAATTAAGATTGAGGTTAACAGAACAATTTACAGGTCAAACGTGGAGAAATTCGAATACTTCACTTCCATATGAAGTTTGTGCAGTTGATGATGTTGTTCAGAAGAACAACGAAAGCTCCACAACCGAAACATCCAGCTCAGAGAACAAAACACCACAACACAAATGCTCACTCTCGAACTGCGAATTCACCCTATTATTTTATAACCGAATAGTTCTAAGCATATTTAGACTGATATATCAATTATTTCCCAGTAAATAATGTCATACTTATCTACTCCTTAGTACTGATCCCATTTATTTTAATGCATATATGAAATGGTCTAATATAGTGTACCACATAACTAGCTTATTTGTCATACATTAATTTAGTAAGAATATTTTTGTTACAAATTTAATGCTTGGTATCTATCCATTGGCTTATATTTCGTTGGCTATACCAAATGTACTAGTCACTTCCAGCTGTGATACAGTTTTATATGTACAAGTTATTTTCAAATTTTCGTGGTAATAAATTGTTTGTAGTCATTACTAGATATCTTGGTGAGTACAACATCTGATGAGACTGTTTTAATCATTGATGGAAATTCTAGTGAGAGTCACAATTATTAAATAAAGTATCGTTCTCATACTGTTTCTCGACCGTAGCTGCTATCGTCACGTGATGTGGTTGGGCTTGCCCATCGTGATGACCCAACCTAGCTCAATTGGCTGGAACAAGATGGCTTAAAACAGTTTGCAATGGCACAGGTGCATTCATTCTTTGGCTTCTCTCCAAATCCTAATCCTCTGGATTCTTCATCACCTTTATCTTTCTCTTTTTAAGTTCATTTCTCCAAATTATACTTCTTGAATTTTATCTTCGAACCCCAATCTCTTCTATTACTGCTAATATTTCTACTACCGCTACTTCTATGGGATTTGAAGTGACAGTTACATCTCTGTGCTAATGTGATATAGCGACTTGAATTGATGTAGGTTCGTACGGAGTTACGCGCTGTAACTGAGTGGCTGACTCCTAAACTGTTTGGAATTTGAAAGCTAAGCTGATAATTTTTGGTAATGAGGCTTTGTCATCTAACTGCTAAGGAGTTGAAGATGGACATTTTCTACCTTGACCAATTATTGTACTTATTCTATTGTGTACCCCAGTACGTTCTACACATAGTTTAATAAATCAGTCCCTAACTATCGGATGTTATTCAGATTGTCGAATTTTTGAAACTTTGTTGTAAATTGATTAATGTCAGATGGATTGAGAATAATTGAACATATGAGTTTAGATCAACGTTGTTATGAACACAAATCAGAATGGCATGTCAAGGATGCAGGCATTTTTCATACCCATTTAGCACACCCACTCACATACATATAGATACTTAAAATAAAGACTTATCGCATAGATTCTGTTGGGAACATTAGATCTCCAGAAGTCACTTGATGAAAGTCTTAATTTTGGATTTTTTATGCTTTCGCGCATAGCTTGATCAGTTGACCTTGAGTTTACATCTCCAACTCGGAAAATCTTTGACTTTCATTGATTGATGTATTATTTTAGTATGCAATTTTTGTGACTCACCCAAGGACGTTTCCATCATTGGATTAGAGTAGCCTATCAGGTCACTGAATCATTTGTCTTCGCTTTCGTTTACTGACTAAGATAAACTCGTAACAGCTTGAAGCATATTAATTGACGAGCATAACAGATTCGGCCTTACTTAACTTGTGTAACATTAGATTAGCATAATCAAAATTCCCGTGTACTACTAACTACTTGATTCGACTTATGCTTTGTTCTAGTTTGATCACATTGTTGATTTGGAAAATGGTTGATTTAATCAAATCGACTTCACGAAATCATGATGATTCCCTAGAAATTATATTGATTCGTTTGAATATTGATTATTATTTTGATCAGTATGACATAAAAAAAACTATTTATCGTGTACACAACTATATAATAAACTTGTCAATTTTCAATTGAATATTGACAATCTCATTATGAAACTTTCTTTTGTTATATTTCAACAAGAATTATGTGAATATGTAGTAAATACTTGAAACAGGAAACACTGAGATGTTCCACATTACAATGGGAAAGAACCTGCTGAAGGCGGATGGTTTTATCTGCCTTCTAGAAACACCATAACAACACCGATGGTTAGAGACCTTGAATGACATGACTCAGAATCGTTTGCAATGCCGCAGGTGCATCCACTGTTTGTGTTCTATGAAATTCTCACCTTCTGAATTCCTCATAATCTCTACCTTTCCCCTTCTAAATTTATCTTACTGAATTATACTTCTCGAATCATATCTTCGCTCCTTAATCCTCTCCATTACTGCTAATACTTCTACTACCACTATCACTCTTGGATTTGAACTGACAGTTGCGTCTCTGTGCTGATGGGGCATGGCAACCTGAACTGATGTACGTACGTACGAAGTTCTGCGTTGTATCTGTCTGTCTGTCTGTCTGTGTCTATAACGACTTGTTACCATGTAGATTAATTGATGAACAGATTTTTATTTAGAATTGATAATCAGTAATAGAACATAAAGTATAAGTGAAATTTCAAACCTTCATTAATGCAGTATACACAGAATCGACATCATTACACTGCATTCTGATATAGTGAATAAAATGCAGATTAAATCGAGTCCGGAAATATTTACACTGAACAGAATATCACGAAAGGATTACACTAAATTAAAATCTGATCTCGCGTTGAGTGTTATTGTAACAGTAAACTTTTTTCCATAATGAAACATGGAAAAACCTTACTAGTTCAGCTGATTTCTGCACAGCACAACATGCCAATATATTGAAATCACCAACGAAATCATGAATCGATCGATGTTAGAATACTATTAGAAACCTGTAGTTAGTAGTTACTCCACAGAAGGGGTGTTGGAGGTTGCGTAAGTTTATAGATTGATTCGAGTTAGCCATTAACACTATGGGATGCAAGTCCAATGGTCGAGAAATTAAGTGCTGCATTGTGAGTTGGTAGATCTTGAGCTCGACTCCTTGTTTGAAGTCGTGGACAAGGTTTGTTTCTGAATCCCTTTTTTTGAACGCGACGAACGTCTAGTACTTCCAGGTTCTGAATGGCAATCTAGCATTGATCGGTTCATGATTTCGATGAAACTTAACAATTTCCACAAACTTATGATAAAATCATTGATACGATCATTATTCAGACTGACGCTAAGACTTATTGGCTGCCATTGTCAAGTACAATATTTTGTGTATACTAATGTGCTACTATATATTTAGTCAATAGTATAAAATAAATTAATGCAATTTTGTGAAGGAATATTTTACAGCTATTTAAATAAAACATTGATTATTTTGTAATTTCTCTCAACTGATATACGCAAAAATGAGCTATTCAGACTTCTTCTTCAGTGAACCACCGAATTGTTTTCTTCAGTAACTACCTGATTCGCGATAGAGTTTTGAGAATGAACTACCAGTTCGAAAAACCTCAGTTTGCATTTATTAGTTCACTTGGTTCGGTAAAGATGGTTATATTGACCGTACAAGTGTGCACTCCTCGAATGAATATTTGATCACTATCTTCCATGTCTTTTTGTAGGGGAGTGCAAGTCAATCAATAGATTAATCTTCTTGTTTGTTTTATTATAATGAATCTTGTACGGGATGTCAACAGGGAGTCACTCTGTATGCAGAGACTTGTGGCCCAGCACTCTCTGTAGTGTTGAAGTTAATGCTTCTTTAGTTCCTTCTCAGTTATTCTCCATAGTGGTTTCTTCTTCTTCCAGTAGATCTTCTAAGATCTGAACCTTATTGTAGAGAGACTTCGTGGATTCGCTGAGTTATGAGCATCTCGAAGGAAGCTTGTTTACCAAAATTTAGTAGTGTTCCATGTCCTCTGTTTTGAAGGATGTTTAGATGATCCCATTACCGTTGTTTTCCCATACTACAAGCAGTATTTCAACTTCTTTGGTGAGCATCAACGCAACTTTTTGTATGTGTTGGGGGATTGTCTTCTTGATGGTCAATATACGTCAACATCTCTCATGAAGTTGTCATTTCGGTCTAGCTTGTGTCATGTTGGTCGGTTACACTCATTGCTGCAACCATAGTCAGGTTGTGTCTTTCGGTTTCCGTGACTGCTACTGGAATAGCTCTCCATGTTTCCCACACTGCATGCACCTATACTGTTGTTCTGGTTGTCAAAGTGGTTATCAGTCTCGTGACTTCCGTGTAATCTCATTTTTCACGATGAGTCATCAATATTATTTTATATGAATATTGTTCAACTCTCTTGAGGCGAATTTCGAATGGATGAAATGGTTTTGCTCATCAGCGCGTTTTATTTTAGTAAGTGCATTTGTGGTCGCTAACTTCATGCCTAGTTGTCCTCTCCTACATAAACGTATGACCGGAACTTTCTTGAGTAATAAAAAAATTCAAATAGAGCGAGCAACATTCACTTCTTCATCATATCCTAATAAATTTTTGCATTTTATTTATTTGGTCACTATTTTTTAGTCGACATAAATGTCCACATCGAAGACGTAGCCTGTATGTATCGAAACCATGTGAAATTTCGGAATATAATACACAATTTATTCCTCGTGAGCTTGTACCAGTGAAATCATGTAAACCACCTCATAGAGGTGTAGCAGGTGAAGGTCCAATGGCATCGGATACTACAATGCGGTCAGTATAAAAATTTTGATTTTAATTATTGGTAGAATTTTTCTAAAACTGTGGGTAGCCTAAAAAAAATATCTGTATAAAACAACAACTTTATCAGCATCTGTTCAATGTTATTTTTCTTCAGAAATGTTATGCTGAAAAGCATAGGATATCAGTTTGCATAGAATTACTCTGTTGAACTCTAAAAAAACAATTGGCATCACAGATAATATGGGTTGATGATCGTAACTAGATTGAAGACGAGTTCTTGAAGTTCTTATTAGAAATCATGACCTTAAAGTTCTGTGTTTGATTTCTGAAAGAGTCAGATGTGTGTAGTGGTGGGAAACTGTACGTTTATGCTTAACACTGGTCCAATCCTTTTGTTTACTGGTTGTTTCCCAACTGAAACCAGTGTGCAATAGTTATCATTAGCAAATAGTTTCTGAAATTCGAAGAAATCGTTAATATGAGAAGGCTGTTTGCAAGATTTGTGTCGACTAATGAATAAATTATTGATAATTTGGTTGTACATTTCTAATTCACAGTGAACAGATGTAAGTCAGATTGTGTGCTCAACAGACTAATCAAATTTAAGTACATGTTCGAAAGCGTTTCTTGTATCATGTCAATTGCGATAGGATCATTCGGTGAAAATAAGAACGATTTTGAAGAGAAACTTAAATAATCACTGCTACTATTACTACTACTACTGCTGAGAAGACTGAGGCAGGCGAGGAAAATTCAATTGTGCAAATTTACACTCTGAGTTAGTTAAAAACGAAAACATTACACTGAATACTCTATTTGTACACCATCTTTGAGTCGTGACTTCCAACACTCCATCCTTCTTCCATTCCTGTTGTTGCTTCCTTTCCTTCCTGTTGGTACTCCATTTACTCAATTTGCTTTTGCTCCATTTGCTTTCTGTTTTCCTCTTCTGACCGTGAGACTTCTTCTTTCACGTCCCTTCTTATACTACTTATATCGTTCGTATAAGTAGCACACACTACACTACTACTACTACTATTAGTACTACTACTTTAGAATAATACAAAACAATGAATTAGTTATGTAAACTATCATTAGAGTCAACAGAAAACGACAGTCACTATGCATGCACAAACAAATACCAGCAACTAACGATACGAACAGAACCAACCTTTGTGTAAAAGCCGAGATGCTCACTTCTTCATGGAGTATTCCAATAATGCTGTTGTCATTCCCATTGAAATTGAAGACTTCACAACCGAATCACTGAGCTCATCAAACAAAACACTATCAAAGTGTATTTTTTTAGGAATGTTTCACCCGTATCAAATCAGTCAGTTTAAGTGACTTCGTAAGTGACTGGCCATTCCAACTCAACACAACAGCTAATTGGAATATCAGTTCAATGTTGATGAAAAACAGCGCTATTGACAATAATTCATAGGACTGTTTAAATATTATCATTCCGCATTGTTTTTTCCCCTTTACAGCCTTGATTATGTACCGCATCCACTGAGTATGACACCTAGCGCTAAAAAAGAACCAAATCTTAAATCAGGACAGGGAACATTCGACGGTTTGACAACATATACAAAGGAATATACTGGTATGTGTGGTGTATGAAATCAATTAGTAAATTTGTAAAACAATTACTAAAATATGCATAATTCATCATTTTTGCACTCGAAAACAAAAAAAGAATGACAATGAGCATGTGATGGTTTAAGGTCATTTAATACAACAAAAAATCAAGGTCATTTTCTTCAGAGCTCTAAAGTGGACTGTTTCTTAGTTAGTGCTAGGTGTTTTCAGTCATTCTTACTATTCGGTAGTAATTCATTCATGACGCAACCATTTTGAATAAACATCAATTTCCGTGATTATTCCAAATAAACAAGGGAAAAGCGCCATTTTTACATTTATGTATTTCCATTGGTAATAAGTTAATCAGAGAACTCTTCAGTCTAAGTGTTAGGATATTCATCCAATAATATCCTAAGAGAATTAATGGTCAATTCCTATTGGTTGATTCCTACTGGTCAATTTTATGGTCGTTCTAGATATCAATGTCATGTACTCCAACGTTGTTTCTCATTGATCGTCTTAACTGTCAATGTCACAGACTTCGATGCTGTTTCCTATTCAACCGAAATGTATAAATACGCATCATCTGTAACGTTTTATGACCAGGACCCGGTCCCGGATCCTTAGTCCGGGATTCTGAATCTCTTCTGGATTCGGACCTCGTACTTTCTGAATGCTTGTAGAATACAGGTTCTGCTTCATACCATGTCTTCTTATTTTTCCTCAATATGGGGGTTGGGATAATCGGATTTGAGTAACATGTCATGTCGCCGGATGCTCGATCCTTGCTCTCGTTTTCCGACTAAGGCAAACTCGTAATAGTTCAAGTATATCAAGTTGACGTGTTTAGGTGCAGGCGTAACACTAAAGCTTTATGTTTTCCGAATATAATTAAGGTATATACTTACGTTTATTTCGGTGCCTCATGGTCTTATCAACATCCATTAATCGTTTGTGTTTCTACGGGACTTGTGAAGCTGCCACTGCATAATGTATACTAAGTTCTATCCACTTCTGTTATAGTAGTAGTAGTACTAGTAGTTTGGAATGTTTCCAATTGTTTTATCACATTTCACTTATTATTTGTCTTCGAAATTATCGAATCAAAAAAACACTGAATGACAGAATTCCCCAAATTAATCAATCAAAGTAGATAAAACTGTTCGCGAATGATTGATACTGTTTTCTTAACTAACGAGTGAAATGAATGTGAGACGTCTACACTCAATTAAATTCGATGTACTTGGTATTTTATATGCTCATTAAAACAGGACAAAAACTGTTAGTTACTTAAAGGCAACAGTTTATTTGGTTGAGAATATTCACACGACATCGAAGTTAGAATTTTACAGGAATACGTTTTAACCGACTTAATTGAATTTTAAATCTAAATAGTATAGTTTATATAGACACTGATTGATAAGAAATTAGTTACGTGCATTTCAAATACCCATTGACAAACATACAAAGAACTTAGTTGAAATGTAGGACAAGTGTCTTCAATAATGATTGATAACCGAAAAATGCAAAATAATCAATCGTGTAGGGTATTTAATCACTTTGATATCCAGCCGTACAGTAGAACTTGGCTATCGATGGATTACTTGAAACAGATCTGAGAGACTTGAGCAAAAAGTTTATATTGTGAATAGAAACGAAACTCATGTCAGACCAACCGACCGATTCGGGACTCATCATCTGGATCAACTCACATCCCCCAGTATTGATAAACAAACCAAAATTCGAAATTCGATATAACCACTTGTGTCTATGTACATAGAATTTTGATGGATTGTGGCTAACAGTGGAATCCATGGTGATTTTGTTTGTGAGTGCCAAAACTCCAATCCTCTTTATTTAAAATGTATTATCACTGACACAAATCTTTGCTTATGAGAATATTCCCCTCAGCCTAAATTTATTCATCACAAAGTCACTGCAATAAGAATATGTTTTATTTTAAGTCCTTCATTCTGTTTAACAATACCCTGTTAAAGTGTTTGCGTGGTATTGAAAGAAGAGTGATGCCTCTGTAGGTCTCACACTTGCTGAGATTGCCTTTCTTTGGTATTTTGATCAGGTATCCTTCTTTCCAATCCGATGGTACTTGTTCCTCATCTCAAATCTTCTTGAAGAGGATGTGAAATATTTTCGCAGTTGCTTCTACATCTGCTTTCATTACCTCTGCTGGAATGTTGTCTGGTCCTACTGCTTTGCCGCTCTTGATTTGTCTGATGGGCATACTGATCTCCTCAATCGTAGGTGCGCCAATATTAATTGAGAGGTCCGTATATGCTGCTTCGATGTTGGGTGTGTTCAGTGGAGCTGCTCGATTCAAGAGTTGCTTAAAGTGCTCTACCCACCTGTTTCGCTGTTCTTCAGTGTTGCTGATTACTTTGCCTTCCTTGCTTTTCACTGGTCGTCATGGTTTACGATAGTTTCTGGCCAGCTTCTTTGTTGTTCCGTACAATTGTCTCAAGTTACCGTCTCTTGCAGCCTTTTCCGCCGTCATTGCTAGATCTTCCACATATTTTCTTTCGTCAGGTCTGATGCTCTTCTTCACTTCCCTGTTTGGTTCTGTGAATGCAGCTTGTGCGGTAACTTTCTCTGCTCTTGTTCGGCTGACATTGATTGTTGCTTTCTTGTTCCTCCTTTCTTGAATTTTTTCAAGAGTACCAACAGAGATTCACTCCTTGTGATGGTAGTTCTTATGATCCAGGACCTCCTGACTTGTTGAAGTGATTGCCTCCTTGATCCAATTCCGATTGTTCTCCAAGTTTGTTTCCTCTCGACTGAGTATATCGTGCAAGGCCTTCGAACCTATTGGTGAGGGCTATCCTGAATTCTTTGAGTTTTACGGTATCCCGAAGAAAGGCTGTAGTAAACTTGTGTGATGTTGTCTGCCCCGTTATTCAGCTCCTCTCTTGGTTTTCACATCCTCCGTGGTTCTTCCGAACTTTTTATTGATACAGATATGGTCGATTTGGTTCTGAGTAGTGTGATCCGATGAAATCCATGTAACTTTGTGTATGCGCTTTGTGTGGGAATATTGTGCCATCGATGACCAGTTTGTCGAAGGCACATAGGTTTGCAAATCTCTCACCTTTTTCGTTCCGTTCTCCTAGTCCATGTCGTCCCATGATGTCTTCATATCCAGTGTTGTCCATGCCAACCTTGGCATTTAAGGTCTCCCATCAGAATCGTCAAATCATTTGATGAGCAATTCTCGACGACTGACTGCAGCCTTTCGTAGAATCCGTTTTTAACGTCGTCATTGTAGTCATTGATAGGTGCATAGCATTGGATGGGGTAACCAACCCTATGCCCAACCCTCCTCCTTTATTCGGGCTTGAGATGGACAGTAGCCCTTAAGGGTCTACAGGCGGAGTTTGGTAAGTGCCAAAACTCCAATCCTTCATACTAACTAACTGCATTATCACTAACACAAACCCTTGCCCATGATGATATTCCTTCCTTCAGCCTAATTTTATTCATCACAAATACACTACAATAAGAATGTGTTTTTCTTTTAAATTAATTCAAGGAAAACCTGGTCAATTAGTTGTTCCAATCAAGCCAGTTGTTAGAAAAGGTTCAACAGCTAAATTTGGCGGTGAATCCACATTTACCGGTAAGTGAATAGTCATTGAATACAATATAATTTAATGTGTGCGTGAATATCAAAGCTTAATTTGTTCTGTTTTATTTCTTCGTAAAATTGAATCGAATGATCGATTGATGAGTGTTATATTCAACATGAAGATTGTAACAAGCAGGATCTAGTGAACAACCGATTCAAACAAAACATGACAAGATAAGAAATCAGAACAACAGTTCAGTATGGTTAGATAGAACTCAAAAGACTAAAATGATTATCACAAAATTGTATATAGCAGTGTATGTAGGTTATTCGTCAGAAATCAAGTACAAATGAAAATGAAGCTGTGGAATTTATGATCCTGATCAATGGAGAAATAGGGAAGTCTCGATTACAAGTGAGAAAGGAAGCAGTGACGATAATTGAGTAGAAATTGAGTCTGTAAAATGCCGACGCACACAATGTTTGTGTTTATGCTATGAGGTGAACCAAGAAAGTACCACTTCATCAGACGCAGAATATTCAGCAGGCTTTTTTCACCAAATAATCAATACCTTTGTGAAACATGTACGTTTGTTAGGCGTTACAAAGATTTGTGAATCCCAATTGTTAGTACTGAAGTTTCCGTTTAAAGAGTAGATATGTCAATTGGAAAGCGTTGCGGGTTTGTTGTGAAGTTTGTTAAGTTTTATTTGGAACCATGAATCGATCACTAGTGAGCACATACAATTGCATTGCGGGGTTGTTGTGAAGATTGCACCTGCACCCAGCAGGAGTCGTGGATGCGCACTGCTGAGGAGTCCCGTACCAGAGCGAACCGGCCGTCCAGTGCTTCCAGGTTTCTAACGGTGGTCTAACATTGATCGATTCATGGTTCCAAATAAAATTGGAAAGCAATCAAATTCATTTGTAGACTATTGAGTCGCATTTAATCCCACTAAACAGTTTTATTGATCATTTTAAATTATTAACTAGATGTGAACATTTGTTTGTATGTTTCACATTGAAATAATCCCTCATTTCTTTGAATATTTCAAATGAAACAGCTCATTATAGACCATGGGTAATGGAGAAACATGAACTAGCTCCAGGTAGACCAGCAAGCTTAGTGACACCGAATGTACCATTTTCTGGTACTTCCACTTATACATCTCATTATGTTGGACATAAGTGAGTTATGACTTGGATTAACACCTTTTCTGTCTCAATAATTTTTCTAATCTTCAAAAAATAAAATTGTGAAGATTGATTTTCTCATGAGTACCGAACGTTGAGATGTTTCTTAATGGCCAACGTTTTTTTCAGCGTTTATAGCCGTCTTTTTGAATTCAGTATCTGATTTTGATTTGTCGATAAACTACTCTTTTCGTATTTGTGGCTATGTACAACACATTCAGCTGTTAAAGATACTCATTGTGACTCAATCTAAGGAATCAAACCTTGTATTTCATACTTAACGTCCAGATAATAATTCTGTTACATATATATATATATACGCTGTGAACCTTTCAAGGCTTCTGTAATAGTGAATTACATGTCTATGTAATCGTAGATCCCTTTGAAAGGTAATCTACATGTTAGGATATTCATCCAATATCCTAAGAGAATTATTGGTCAATTCTTACTGGCTAATTTTATGGTCGTCCTAGATATCAATGTCATGTACTCCAATGTTCTTTCTCATTGGTCGTCCTGACTGTTATTGTCACCTCTAATCTTGTTTCCTATTGGTCATCTTAATTGTCAATGTCACAGACTTCAATGTTGTTTCATATTCAACCGAAATGTATAAATACGCATCATCTGTAACGTTTTATGATCAGGACCCGGTTCCGGATCCCTAGTCCGGGATCCTGATTCTCTTCTGGATTCGGACCTCGTACTTTCTGAATGCTTGTAGAATACAGGTTCTGCTTCATACCATGTCTTCTTATTTTTCCTCAATATGGGGGTTGGGATAATCGGATTTGAGTAGCATGTTCTGTCGCCGGATCCTCGATCCTTGCTCTCGTTTTCCGACTAAGGCAAACTCGTATTATAGTTCAAGTATATCAAGTTGACGTGTTTAAATGCATGCGCAACAATATATATTCTAGAAATATGACTCATTGTCTAATTTATATAACAACCGTCATCAGGATTAGGCATTATTTTTGAACAATTAATGAAGAATATGAAATCAAGGTTTTAATTTGTTTATTTATCAACTAGAAATATGAACTTATAAATATTTTGTCCTTAATTGTTTTTTTAGTGAAAAACCTCCAGCCAGTTGTAAACCACGTCGTCGTTTTCCTGACAATCAAACGCCCTTTTCAGATAGTACAAATTATCGTGATGCATATCGTACATTGGACTTGACAGAACGAACTCGACCAATAAAACATCCCGATCATGCCGGTAAGCCTACTGCACCGATTGAAAGTGATACAACGCAAAAACGTGATTATTACTGGAAGACAATAAGTAAGTCAGATTTTATTATTATTATTATTATTATTATTATTATTATTATTATTATTACTGATAATGTAAGAACTATTTTTAATCATTCACTACTGTTATTCTTATTGGTAGTAATGTTGAAATATTCTCTTCTCTGAAACATTCTCTAGTATGGAACACTGGTTAGTTTATGCCATAGGCAAATAAACTGTTGGTTGAACCAATCCTCTGAAGTATGCAGATGTGAAGATATACATTAATTCGGGTATCTACAAAGTGTACCTGTCACTATAAACTAGACCGAGTTAATGATGATTCATCTCCGTATTTAACTCAAACACTTGTTCACATGTCAATCAATACATCCTGGTACATATAGTTTTTTTAAGAAACCTGTCACGCCTACTATTAATCTATTGATTAGGAAATAACCAATTTTTAGTTCAGTAGTAAGTAGTCAGTCGACTGTGGAACCTAGTGTTTGAAACGATTCATCAATAAATTTGTTGGGGATGTTAGATCCCCAAAATTCGCTTGATAATGCCGTATTTTGGTTTTCACGTTTTGCCAGCATGGGCTGATCAGTTGACCTTGAGATTTCAATTCCCACCAGGAAAATCCATGGCTGTGATTGGCTGCTGTGTATTTTAGTATGCTATTTTCTTAACTGTTTCAAGGACGTTCTTATGTTGTATAAATAAACGAGAGTTGTATGCTTGATTGTACTGTGATTGCTGGGTGTTTGTAGAATATACTTTCTACGCTTACAAAGACTTTTCACTTCAGCCTCGGATTCAAGGTAGCCTCCCTGGAAGCTGGTAAAAGTCTCGTTCGCGTTTATCGACTAAGGTAAACTCGTAATAGCCTCAAGCATACTAAGTGACGAACTTATCAAAATTGGGTGTTAAGTGAAAAAATTAAACACTACATTGGATGTGTACACTTAAGATTGTACAATAATTAAAGCCTCTAGTTAGTTGTAGAAGAAGACAAACAGAGAATTGCTGGTATGACTTCATTACCAATATGCCACGCTGTTCAACCTTTTTCTCACATAGTTTCACCAACACTGGAACTTATATCACACACAGTAAGTAGTAAAGATAGAAATGTTACCATTAAGCTATTTTGTTCACTTGGTTGATATTAACCAACCTCATAACTTTTGTATATTATAATAAAACTCGATCTGATCATTCATTTGAGGATTTTCACAAACTCTTTCTATTATTATTATTATTATTATTATTATTATTATTATTATTACTATTATTATTATTATTATTATTACTATTATTATTATTCCAATCAGCACGATCAGCTTCATGTAAGCCGGAATACATGGGTATCCAGTGTAAAGAACCATTCCCGAAAGATACAACTCAACGAACTGACTATAAATCTTGGGGACAAACAGAGAAACGTGGACCTATCATCCCAATGACTTCTTTGACTTCACAAGGAAAAATAAGTTCTGATACAACTTACAACAAATATTATGTACCATTTGAAGCTCAAAAAAGTCAAACAATACATCCAGTCGATAAACTTGGAGTTAAATTACCACCATTCCATGTATGTATGAATGAATGATAATTACCAATTTTAAATATTTTTTGTGGAGAATAAACGTTACCCAGTATATTGTTAAGATGTAACACAACTTGAAGACTAACTGATTAAATTATCCTGGGTGTTATTATTCGCCATAGATCGATGTCAGATGGGAGTGTTATTGGAAACTAAAGAGAAGAGTGAATAGTTGTTTCCTTTAAGAATTTGAATTTTGAAGCTTTTACCATCACCGCTACCACACTGGAGATCAAACGCGGAGAGTTCACCTCTCATACTTGTGATGGTGTTTCGTTCTCTGAGATGGATGTTTTGGTTGTGGAGCTTTCATTGTTCCTCCACTGAACAACAACATCATCAACAGCACAAACTTCAGGTCAGAAGTGAACTTATTCTCAAATTTCTCCAGGTTAGACCTGTAGCTTGTTCTGTTAACCTTGATCTTTCTTCATCAGTTAACAGAACAAACTACATGTCAAACGTGAAGAAATTTGAGAATAAGTTCACTTCCGACCTGAAGTTTGTGCTGTTGATGATGTTGTTGTTGTTCAGAAGAATTGTGAAAACTCCACAACTAAAACATACAGCTCAAACAAAGAACGAAATAAATACCACAACAATCATCCACTTGAGCTAGAATTTTTTCTTCACCATCTCTCACCTCTCATACTAGATGATCACTGAGCTATGGACATTGGAAATATGAACTGTTAGATTCTATCTAAACTACCGGTCTAAAAGCTAATCTCTTACCTGTAGATCTGGAAGTCTTTGGCTCGATCGGTGGAAGTGTTTTAAGACTGGACTATTGAGAAATCCCATACTTACAGACAAACACTACCTACTAAGTGTTTCAAGACTTTCAATGGTTCAGCGAATAATTTCAATACATGAGGTGTCTCCTCTACTTCACGGATCTGCTTCAGTTTTAAACAACAACCAGTATCAATCAGATAGATTGTAATTTTGCACGGATAGCTAGCTGTGTTGCGTAATTTTATCCACCAAAGCATTGAGAGTCCTTCTTATTTATTTAATGTCTAGTTGCAGTCAGTTAGTAGTTCTTGAAATTAAAAAATATAGATTTAAAGTGATTGGTAATGTGATTTGACAATTTGTGACAATAATAATAGTTATGAATAAAAATGTTTCGTCTAACGCCATCAATGTATACCTTTTTAGGTTTTTATTCAGCTGATGTGTGAACTTTTTTGCAATTACAAATCATTGTTGTTTCATTTATTGCTTGACGTTTTTTATTGATTGATTGATTGATTTATCGCCATGAATATTTATTTATCAATCAGGGAATTTCCGATTATAACGACAGTTATCGACGTTGGTCAACTGAACCACTTGTTAAAAGTTTAGGCAGAGGACCATCGTTTACTATACCGAATGTGAAATTCAAAGGAAAAAGTACCACAAGTGATCATTATAAGCCATATTCGGATTATCGACCGCCGGAATCTATTAAACCACACACTCACCTACCAACTACTGAAGGACCTTTCGAAGATGCAACTTTATATCGAATGGACTATACACCGAAATATGTGGAACCTTGTCCAGCTAGTCTACTTAACACTAGTGAAAGCAAATATGTTTACAACTCAACGGTATGTTTTTTTTTTCGATCTGTTCTTATTCCCGATAATTTTTTACTTGTGTTCGTCTTGTTTTTGTATTTGTTTGTTCAATTTTCTTTTATCGCAAGTAATTATTATTGATCAATGAACATAGTTGGTCATCTTGTTGGAGGGATATTTGAATTCGCAAAGCGAAATTCTCAATTGAGAATCATTTTGATTCGCAATAAAAAAATAATCAATCACCTAGCAAACTTAACTTATATATAATACACTCATGAACCCATCCATAGTAGGTAGATGATACAACCTGATCAAATGTACTGATGTTTGAAATATATAACCGAGATGAACTTCAGTCCAACTGTGAAGGTCTTGGATTCACCAATAAACAATTTTGAATTGATGATAAATAAACTCAGTATAATGACATATTATCAATAATCCTTTGTACTGTCTCCCCACATACATTTGAGTTTTCTTATATTTAATTTAATTTGGTTTAGCCTTTCGATTAACCAAGCTACTTGTATAGCAACAACTTATATGTGTACCATTAGTTTTTAACTATTGTCTAGTTTGTATGAGCTGGTAAAGACTGAACAGTGCTTTTACGCCTACGCGTATATTCATCCTATCGGCTTTAATGTATAATCTCTTAAATACCCCGATGACTCGACATTTCCCTATGTATATATACGAACATTTTCATCTTATTCGTTCATTCACCAATTCGCCAACTCGCTCGTCAGTGTGCTTGCCCTGCTCTGTGTGTTTGCAGTTCACTGGTCCATTTTGTGGTGTATCAAAAATAAACGAATTCAATCCTTTGTGTTTATGCCTTCTGATTTATAACCGTCAAGCACTATTTGTTGACGATTGCCAAGACGAGCAAATTACTAAGACTTGAGAAAGCACGTTGTGAATATCGACCGTCACCAGACTAGTGATACATTGGCCACCACACCTGGATAAAGTTTCCAATAAACTATTGTACGCCCAATGAGAATGTACAACAGCTTTATATATTATGTTCACAGAATGATTGGTAGAACTAATAAGTATTGCATGAAATGTGTTTAGTCTTTTTTTTACCCTGACTGGTAAGATGATTATTAAACTTTAGTAATCGCTCAAGTTTAAATAAAAACAAGTATCACTTGCTACGCAATGATGAATATCGATTCTTTTGGGGCACAGTTTTGGAGGTTTGCGTTTTTACACATTTGAAATCACGGTAAGGCGTTCACCTACAATGCCAAATGTCCCGGGTTCGAATCCTGCGAGGAGCAGGAGTCGTGGATGCGCACTGTCACTGATGAGTCCCATACCAGGACGAAACGGCCGTCCAGTGCTTCCAGGTTTCTAATGGTGTGGTCTAACAATGATTGATTGATGATTTCAAATGTGTGAAGAATATCGACTAGTTTGTAATGACAATTTTAGAAAATCCTGCAGTCGTCTTTGAATTTACCAATGTTCATATATACACATATACATACCACCATGAAGTGTAAACTAAAAAAATATTCAGTCAATTCAATCAGTAAATAAGTTTTCCTATTACTACCACCTACCATTAAGTTTCATTAATAACAAGATCATAGCTATTTGCTGTTTTTTTGTAATTGCCGCGCTCAGTTTATTTACTCAATGAATTGTTTTTTAATCTGATGCGTATTGATTTATTATCTTTTCCCTTTTTTCCTTATCTCGCTCTCACACAACAGAATGAAACAGGACATGATATCTATTGCAGGACATCGAATTCCTTATCTACAACAACTACTGATCAACGTCCAGTCACATCGCCAAATGAAACATTTATCATCACAGATGGAGACAGAGAACCAGAACCTGAAATGTTACGCTCATAATAATAATCAATAATGTGTGTGTATGTGTGTATGTGTGTACGTGTATGTATTACTCACGATCATATCTCTTCTTCTTCTTACTTCATTGATTAGAGAGACAGACATATATTATTGATTTTTCATCGATTTGACTGTGATCATTTGATTTATTATTATAGTGTTCTTCTTTTCATATTTCTTATTTCAATCAGTGAAGAGCATTTTTCAAATGTGTTGGTTGAATAGACATCAGCCACAGCAGCAGCTGCTGCTCAATATTCTTCATTGTTATTTTTTTTTTGCAAAATTTGAAATTCCGTCGAACAGATTTGATTTTTAAAAGCTCAATTGTTAATTTTTTATTAACTTTGTCAATAGTTATGATTTGTTCTATCTAGTCAGCATAGTAGAGCAGCACTCTAGTCATTTTATCAGTCATTATAATCATTATTATTATTATTATTATTTTTGAAAAAAGCGCCTTAAATCGAGAGTCAATTGTTTATTGATTTTATATTTCAGTTTATTTTTGTGTGTTTTATTTACTTTTTAACTTGTTTCGATTTTGATTTTTTGACTTCTTTTTCATTTTTATTTGAAAAATCATTCTTTTTTTTCAAAAAACACTTTTATTTTGAACGAATATGTTGTATGTGTCAATTTTAATTTGTGTGATGACAATGGATGACCTTGCCTGGAACATGACATGACATGACATGACAACTTCCGATCATCAGTCAGTCTTACTTACTATTTACTACTTACTACTAATAGTAATCTGTCTTCATTCATCATCCGTACATAATACTCATCGAAGAAAGAGAAGTATTTACGTACGAACCGGTGATAAGCATCAATCAGCAAAGAAAAAAGAGGTGCACAAATTCCAGTACGCTTGTTTTGATGGTACCGAAGAATACTTTACCACCTGAAAGTTTAACAGCCAGCAGGAATCATTGAACACAAATATCTTTTCCGCATATTTATACGCATATGCTCAATGTCACCGGGATAATGTGTCAAGATAATCATATTCACAAATCATCAATATGGTTGGTGTGGTATTTATCCAGTCGTCAAATTTCAACACTTCCAACATTCTAGCTAGCAATTTCCTACAAAATCCTTCCGGTTGATATCAGTAAATAAAAACTTTGAATTTAATTTAATATTCAGTACAATTTTTGCTTACATACATATATTTTGAATTATTACAAATCATTAAGCAAGTTCAACTATATTTTTAAATATATCAGTCGTCGTTCGGTTCAATCATTTTAATTTCTCCTTGTGTCTACTACCTACTTGCCAACAAAATTAGATGTGAACATCCTATAGAACTCATGCAGATTGAGTGAAATCTCATAAGATTATTCTGAACATCATATGAAGTGGGGAAAATTTCACCTCACTCATCAGTGACTGATAATTAATATACAAGGATATTTTTTTTTAAAATTTGATTGCTTCCAATCACTCGACATTTCAAACATCAACACATCTATTTTCTAGTCACGTGATTCATGGGACTTGCTTACTTGTTCAGTGAGTATGAATGTCACTATTATTGTTATTTATAATCAATAAGAACCTGTCGATACACTCAGCACTGAATTTAATTAATCCTTGAATACAAATGGTTGTATTGAATGAACGTCTGGATGTATAAAGTCTGTAGCGATTTGATAATTCATTTAGGAGTTTTAAGTTTTTAATTAAAAATATTACTTACTTACTTACTTACTTACGCCTGTTACCCCCAATGGAGCATAGGCCGCACACCAGTTTTCTCCAACCACCTCTGTCCTTGGCTTCCATTTCCACTTCTGTCCAATGTTTGTTCATTCTTCTTCTCATATCTTTCTCTATTTCTCGGCGTAATTTGTTCCTTGGCCTTCCTCTTTTCCTTTTGCCTTGATGGTTCAAAGTGAGGGATTGTTTTGTGCCGCAGTTAGGTGCTTTTCGTAATTTGTGTCATATCCTCTTCCACCGCTTCTCCCTGATTTCCTCCTCCACTGAAGGAATCTGGTTTGTTCTCTCCCACAATACGTTGTTGCTGATCGTGTCTGGCCAACGAATCCGAAGTATTTTTCATAGACAACTGTTAATAAACACTTGTATCTTCTGGATGATGGCTTTCGCAGTTCTCCAAATTTCCGCTCCATAAGTAGAACTATGTCTTGACATTTGTATTGAAAATCCTGATTTTGGTTTTGATTGAAAGTGCTTTGGAGTTCCAGATATTTTATAGTTGTAGAAACGAAGCCCTTGCTTTGCCAATCCTCACTCTCACATTTGCATTGGATCCACCTTGACTGTCGATGATGCTGTCCAGATATGTAAAGCATCCCCATCCACAGTGACTTGATTGGTGCATGTTATGTTGTATCGTAAAATCTTGCTTGCTTTTCCCTTTATATATGTTGAGACCTACTGCTGCTTCAGTGAGTGCTGCTACACTGGTCGTCTTCTCTGGCATTTGTTGAAATTACAGACGTAGTGCAAGCTTATTTCCTTCATGTCTTTCTTGACGAATTCGCCCTAGGGTATCTAAAAAAATGTAAAACTGAATAGTACAACCGTTAATATTATTATTATTATTATTATTATTATTTGAATGTATTTGTGGATTACATAACACGTTCAATAATTGTCTCAATTATCAAATGATTAAATGAAAGTCGAATTTTCACTGTTTTCATTCAGTGAAAGCAATGATTTACAACCAATAACAGTTACCTCTAAATGTCTACAGCAAATTTTGACTGAAATAATGCTCCAGAGATAACCAATCACGTTCTCCCCTTCATTAATTTAACCAGCAAACCGGTACGATTTTTAATTAGTTTCTGTCATATTAAACTTTTGGGTCGATTTCTATTCATGACAGTCTTGTCTTTACTACTCTACGCCTGTTATCTCAAGTGTGGTGCATAAGCTTCTGACCATTTCAGATTAGTGCTTTTTGTGGCGAGTTAGCTTTCTGCAAGATGAGGTCGATAAACCTATGATGCTCAACGCTCTTCCTATATCCAGGCTTAGGACTGACAGTAGCCCATTATAATGTCATTCAATTTTTCCATCCACAGTAAATGTGAACAACATAACAAGAATAACAACTTTGGCAGAATAATTTGAATTCGCTTATTTCACCTAGTCTATTATGTAAATCCTGATATTATGATATTTACTATCTAAAAACTCATTTCTTTATGCTCTTCTAAGAATTTTACTTCTACTCCAGTTTTCAACAATCATTGACAACTTAAACATTGTTATCTCACGACAGAATTTATCGCTCACTTGCTTATCTTCATCAAAATATAAAATACAGAGCATATATATATATATATATATATATATATATATATATATATTGATTTTCAGTAGATTACACCATTGTTTTTAGGCCGATTGAATCGAATCCTTGAAATTAATGAATTCATATTATTCTACTGTGATCGGTGTAGTCCTTGCTTTATTGGAATGATTATTACTACAATTGTATTTCTCCATTGATCATTTCAATGCTGACATTGATGTTCAAAAGGGTGTAACCGATAAGTCACTTTGATATATATATATACCCATTAATAACTTGAGTCGATTTGTAATGAAGGAGAACACAGGTGAGAGCAACCGAATTGTATTTAACGAAAATTACAGAGTTACTCAGTAGTAAAATAGGAAAACCATATATCGTAAACGGTTAATTTGCAAATCTTCAATCCATCATCAATCCATTGTCTGACATTTCACTTATTCATGCATTTCATACAAATTCCACTGTGTTCCCACTCTTCTTACTTTCTCTTGATCTTCCCCCATCTTCTGCTTGCTGTCAGACATTACGTTTACACTCGCGTCATATACTACTTATAAGTAGGGCGCACCACAGATTTGCATGCCAAAGTTAATTGTTCATTGCATCTCCGCTCTCAAGTATGTGCTCGTAACTTAACAGCGACATCAAGGCAAATCAGCACAAGATGAGCATAAACCAAACATTTTAAACAACCGACACATTAATTCAATTTAAAAATACTTGTAGTGAGAGTAAATTTGAAAAGATGTTTTTCACTATTCATGTAGCTGATGTTTTCTTTTTTAATGTCTCATCGAAATTCATTCATTCATTGTCCAATAATCTTTTGTTTTTCTCCATTCAAGATTTCATTCAATTATTTCAAATATGATTGTGAAAAGCTTTGAACAGAGAGAGAGAGAAAGATTGGAGGATACCGATTGAGTGAGTGTTGTGTTGTTAACACAAGCAAGCGTCCCAGTGCAATCAAGAAAAAATTTCATGTTCACATAATGTGAGAATATGCATCATCGTTAGATTTAGCACAAAAAATTTATTCAACTACATGGTTTCTTTAACAAACAAAAAAGCAATACACCTTCTTTAATGTTTCTTATTATTATTAATATCGGATGGATATTTTTTTGATTTGTTTTATTGAAAATACTACAACAGACAATTTTAAAAAATATCTTGGAAAACAGATCACAACAATTTCAAAATAATTGAATTATGATGATTGAATGATTTGTATTGTGAAAGGAAAAATACGCTAACTCTAAACAATTTTTATTGTTTAGAATTAAAAATTTTTTCTTTTTTCTTTTGGGGTTATTAGCATCAAACTTGTCTGATGATGATGATGATGATGACGACTATTGTTTATTTTTGAGTTAAGAAATCGTTTAAGAAAATCATTTGACTTTAAATCATTTGAAAATATTTTGAAGTGTGGGGTTGTTTTGAAGTTGTTGTTAAGTTTTATTTGTAACCACCCCACACTGCAATTAATTACATGTGTCCATTAGTGGTGACTAGCTTCGTGAGGAATCTTCTCCGAGTTCTAGTGGGAATTCGTGACCAGTAGTGAAGTTCAAACCTGTCCGGGTGTATATACAGGGTATGGAGGTTGCGCAACTCCGTGAATTTGATCAAGTTAGACATTAACACCGTTAGATACCGGCTCAGTGGTCTACTGGTTAGGGCGTTCGCACACAATACCAAATGGTCCTGGGTTCGAATCCTGCGGGGTGCAGGAGCCGTGGATGCGCACTGCTAAGGAGTCCCATACCAGGACGAGACGGTCGTCCAGTGCTTCCAGGTTTCTACTGTTGGTGGTCTAACATTGACTGATTCATGGTTACAAACGTTTTGAAGTGTTAAATAGAGTTAGTGAGTGTCCGAATGTAATGTTGAACTTATGAATATAATGAGTCCAGATAACTGCTATTCACTTGTACAACTGATAGGAGATTCAATTCAAGTTCTAATAGTTTCGATGATCCTCTTATTGATATTGTTTTTCGCAATTTGATCAGTCCGTGCTTAAAAATGTCCGTCTGCCGACTGAAATCGGTTAAATTTCAGTCGAAATATCAACGACTGAAATAATTGAAAATTGAATTAAATAGCATTATGTGCTTTATTTAAAGAATTTAATGTTAC